TTTTTAAAACAAAGTCATAATCGGGAATCGTTTATCCCTCCTCATCAAGCGCTTATAGTACTAACTGCTGTGCCATCGATGAACGTAAACTGAACCCAACCACGCGCCGCAGGCCGAGCCCGACTCCACCTTAGGTGGGGTACAGGGCTCGTATTCTATAAAACTGGAATTAGTATTATAAGTTTTCATAGCATATAGCTCATACAAACGAGACCTACTCTTATGAATGTCTACTGGTGCCCAGTCATTGAATTTAATATCCCTATGGAAAGTTAGTGCATTATCAAATTCATTTTTAATACAACTAAATGTCGTATTATATAAAATATTTGGAACCTTCGGTATATGGGGTAGGGCATTTGAACTATTGTCTATATTATTTTGAAATCTACTTATTCGTTCTGTGGTAATCGGTCTGCAGAGAAATTGGTGTACCTTCTTGCTCATTTTACATTTTAACGTAGCCAATTGGCCGCTATGGTCTGATCTTAAGCAATTTTTTATTGATTTAGATACTGCGTTTGTGTTGCAAAAAAAGTTTTCAATACAAGTAGACGATGAAGCAGTGATGCAAGTTGGTTCCAAAAAAAAGATTGATCAAGTTAAAACTTTTAAATAAATTAATGAGTTTTACAGAAGTAGAACAGTTTTCCAACATGTTTACATTGAAATCTCCACAGGCTAATATGGTTTTTTTAGTTGGTAAAATCTGTTGTATGTATGTATTTTTAAAATAACCCTCATAACTTTAATTTCTAAGATAGATACAAGCAGTACCTCTCGCTAAGTGTATCTGCGTGTACCTAACTGAACGAATATGCGTGTGTGGGCTGGAATTTGATTGCGAGTGCGTGTGTGTGTACGTGTACGGTGTACGTAAGGGTGTGTATTTATTGTAGATAGCTGTCAGTGAATAGCTACATTGGTACTTACGATTGTAAATTACAATCAATGTCTTTTGTTATGAAATGTATTGTTAAATTAGACCGCAATTTAATCCAAATGATAAAGAAAATACAAATTAACATAGCGACTGTGACCTGGCAACCGGTGCTATCTCAATTTTGTAAAGATTTTACTTTTTAATACTATTTTATAAAAATAAAAAATAAAATAAAAAGACTTTATTCTTCAACACAACAATGAGAAGAAAAACTTACAATAGTGGCTTAAAATCTAAATCAGTGTTGACGAAAAGGTAACAGCCTCAGCAATTTGCTGGTTTTCAGGCTTCACCTTGTATATAATGTAAAGTACAAGTTAAATATATTTGTCGCTGTAGACACCACAGTATACAGTTTCTAATTAAGTATATGTATAACTAAGAAATCACCTCACTCATATGAATTATAAACTATTATATATAAATACTACAGAAATTCCAGTTAAAATTCCTATACAAAACCACAAATGATACACGCACCGACCATGCAGCAAAATAGTGTAAAAAGCATTTTATTACATGTATAAAATAGAACAGGCAGAGCATGAAATTTAATTGTATATTATTAATATAATTATATTTTTAATTATTATATTAACTTAGCAGAACCTACCTTACTTTCAACCAACAGCACGAAGTCTTCTATTGGTTCAGCAGCCAGTCTTTATACATATATTTGAATGTATATGATGATTTGCATGTTTTAACAGGCGGTGGAAGATCGGTCCAACATTTAGAAGCGGCAAAGCGGAAACTGCCTCTAAATAAATATAATCTAGGAGTCGATGATAATTTTAGACTCGGATAGCGTATCGTACGAGTTCTGCCCTCCGTTCTATCATTCCAAATTAGTTTATGCCAAATACGGGGGGCGTCGGATTATTCCTCAAAGAAAAGACAAGTTTGCCAAGCTTCAACATTCGCCTATTCGTCATGTTCGGAATATTATAGGTATTAAAATAAGGGGTATGGCGGAACAGTATAGCAAAACCTAATACATGCGTTTTGGACCCTTTGAATTTTTTTGCCCTTTTCTTGAAACAGGGACCATACACGACGTCACAATAATCGACAATTGACAAAACAAGAGCATCCGTCAGCCTACGTCTTACATCCGTACTCAAGTAGGGTCTTATTTTATACAGTTTAACTTTAACTGCCTCCGTGGCCGAACGGTTATCATGCCGGACTGCCACGCAGAGGCACCAGGTTCGATTCTCGGGCCGGGAGAAATATTTGTATGGCCTACATTTATTTCTCTCGTGAGTTTGGGTGTAATTTTTGGTTGTCTATGTGTGTGTCCACGGCACCCGCGACATCGGGTTTCCCTATTTCGGGGCGGGTTGGGTGTGTGCGTTATTATTATTATTATTATTAGTTGTTTAAGTGCAGCGTATAATTTAGGAACTTTGGAATTCACATATTTGTCAAAGTTCAGAGAGCCATCAAACAAAACACCAAGGTTTCTAGGTGTTATGGATTCAGGTATTATCTGTTTATCAATCATAATGGCAGGACGCACATCATGAACACACCCAATCTGATGTTTTGTGCCCAATATCAAAACAGAACATTTTTGCGCATTGAATAAAAGGCCGTTATTTTTGGACCAATCAAATATCAAACTCAAGTCCATATTAAGTGCTCGAATTGCTGTAAGTATTTTATCTCTCTGTGGTTCAGCATGTTTCAGGATTTGTGTGTCATCCGCGTACATATGTATTACCTGATTGTATGCGGTTAAGCAAGTCACTAGTATAGACGGTATATAGAGTCGGTCCTAGTATGGATCCTTGAACCACACCGCGCGGTACAGGTAAGGTTACCACTGTTCCATCATGGTCGACACATTCAACGGTTTGAGCTCTATTGCTAAAATAACTTTTGAACCACGAACACACAAGGTCGGTACACCCATATTGTTTGAGTTTATAAACAAGGTTACTCCTCACGAGACTGTCGAAAGCGCGACTATAATCTAACAAAACCAAAATAGTAGCTAGATTATTGTTAGAAGCCGTTCTTATTTCATCCACCACGTGCAATAAGGCAGTGGAGGTACTGTACCTTTTTCGAAAGCGCGATTGATGTAAGCGGAATAATATTATTATTATTACTTTCAAGATACTTAAGAAGCCTAGAGTTAACAGCCTTTTCCAGCACTTTCGATATCGCCAGCAACAACCCTATTGGTCTTAAATCTTTTATGGACTCAACATTAGACTTTTTTGGCATCGGTTTAATAATAGCAGTTTTCCATTTTCTTCGGAAACTGTCCTGACTTTAATGATGTGTTCACTATACTTGTTATCGCGACCAACGAAAGTGGTAAGGTTAGGCAAATCATTTTCATCGAAATTCCGTCATTTCCAGCAGCATTAGAAGATATCGTATTTATAATCTTTAAGATTTCGTCGAATGTTAATTCGGTAAAACTAAAACTGCTGTTGACGACCAGAATATCGCTTTCAGGAAGGTAATGAGTATTTGGATAATTATACTATTTCATACTGCGTAGCGTTGCTAGAAATTCCATCTCAGATACGTTTAATTTTGGCGCCAGAATAGAATTCATTCAACTTGTACTAACTTCTAACCAGATGCTATTTTATATAAATGATGCAAACAATTCTTTTCTTCAACCTGTAAAATTATCAAAATTGAGATAGTACCGGTTGCCAGTTCGCAGTCGATAGGTTAACATGAAATCTTATGAATTAATGAATTCTTACAGGTGGATGTATGTGACCTTGTACGGCTGTGACGCGAAAAACAGACAGGTTTAAAATACTCAAAATATTCCAAATTATCCTTTCCTGAAACGCATAACACTCTACACTCCTAACTCCTAACCCTCTACATGACTTTGAGTTGCTAATTAGCGGGATCATTTTGGCGGTCGGTGACGTCATTTCAGTACATGGCACTAAATTAGGGAATTTCAATTTGTATACGATATGATTAAGATTTATGTTTATTGTTGTTGATCAGTTTTTTTTAATTTACGCAGCCAGGGAATTAAATAATAAAATCATTTTTAAGCATTTTGAACGATGTACGTACTTTATTGCATTCGATATAAACGTGGTACATAAAAGTGGATTCCTAGGTATGTACGTACATACAATACTTACTATTTACTATAGCGAGTATTTATCCTAAATAATTCGATTATTTTCATACACTACACTTTCTTACAGAACTTTCTTAGTAATCAATCATACATGTTTTTATATTTATAATGACATTATTAACCGACTGTAAAAAAAGGAGGAGGTTCTCAATTCGACTGCATGTTTTTTTGTATGTATGTTGCGCGATAACTTCGGAATTTGTGGACCGATTTTGATGATTCTTTTTTTGTTGGAGAGAGGGTACGTCAGGTGTGGTCCCATTTGAATTTGAAAAAAATATTCCACCTCTAAGGGTGGTAAACTAGGGGATGAATGACTTTTGAGGTCGGTTTTTTTAGTACTTTTTAGTACTGTTTTTTATACACGGTATAAGGCGTCAGACCTCTTGGGACACGGAAGGAAGTACTTTAAATATACTGGAATATTTTGTTTCATGGAGTCAATATATTATTTTTAAAAGTAAGTAATATTGCATTCAGACTTTTAAAACGTTGCTTGCCTTATCTGTTAATCAAATCGATTAAATGTGAAAGAAAACCTGCATTTTTGTGACGCCAATCAAAAATTTCAATGAGTGGTCAATTTTTTTTTACTATGTAGTGCCATCTGTTACGGCACCAAAGTAACAGTAATTCCGCGTGTCGTGACCTTAACAGACCTTTGACAGTCAGTTTAGAAGGTGAGGACACCTAGTGGTGAGTTACAGCAACTATAATAAAATAAGGAGAATTCACCAATAATGTTTTTGACATTTACACAAAAAATTAAATGGTAACATCGTTAACTCTATACTTCAATTGAGCAATTTTCTTGTCGTTGGTTGAATGAACCACAAATCACTAATACAGAATGAACTAGCTATGGTTATGGCGTAAATTGTCCAATGTGAGTTGTGAAAAAGAAATTGAAGAAAAACAGAATCTTCTAGAAAATAAACTATGGCTGCAACAGGACAGCGAGGCGTTAATAGGGTCCTAGATAAACTAGAAGCGTCTGTAAATTCAGGACAATACTATGAAGCGCATCAAATGTACAGAACGTTATATTTCAGGTAATTATTCGTATAAGACGTGGTACCTTCGTTTTCTTCGCTCTAACCTAATAAATATACTGTTCTAATCATCTATGTGTTTCAGATATCTTAGTCAAAAGAAATACCCAGACCTCTTAAATTTATTGTATAAGGGATCGACGTTACTTCTGCAACGGGACCAACACGGTAGTGGAGCCGATTTGGCAATACTTGTTGTAGACGTGTTAACAAAGTCCGAAACTAAGCCCTGTGATGAATGGATCGATAAATTAGCGAAATTATTTGAAATCATGGACTCCAGTATTCCGGAGAGAGAATCTTTTCTAACAAATGCTGTAAAATGGTCCATGGACAGCAATAAAAAGGGACACCCGCTATTACATAAGGTAATTTTGTATTCATGTGTAACATACAGTAATTAATACATTTTTGAAGTTCAATTATAGAATTTAAGACTATAGGACTATGCACATTAGACAGTGCGAGGTGCGAGCCTAGCCACGTACGAGACTCGGATTGGAAATGCTGCGTAAATTTTATATGAAGTGATTCACATTACAATGTGCAGTGTCCGTGACGAGAGACATCCGAGTTGCTTGAAGCTGGTACGAGCTTCGGCTGCGGCCCGGCCCGCCTCGGGTTGTTGTAATGTGAACACTCTCTGACTCTGTCTACTTTAAGAACTAGTCGCACGTATGAGACTCTAATGCCTCGGAGAAGGCTCATAAATATGCAGCACATTGGAGGTTTGGATGACTCGGGCACGGCTTGCTCCGGCGCGGTCTAATGTGAGTCATCCTTAACATGACACTCTCAAGTGCTGCAATTATACACTTGTAATAACGGCAATAGCCTAGTGACAAAACAATTGCTTTTCATATGAGATGTTGATTTGACCTTGTGGTAGCATACACAAATTTAAATATCCAAATCTAAGGTGTAGTATACGTTCAAAAATAAATGCTATCAGTGCATTCCATTTTTTTAAAGTATTTTTAAAAATATCAATATTTTTGCACCATTTTTACCATATTCATTACAATCTAAGTATTACTGTGAATGTGTACCTTAGAATACTTATTTTAGAATAATAATTAACTCTATACTACAAAGTAACACATTAATGTTCATTATTGACATACCCTCAAAATGTTGCTTAACAAACCTAGTTAAAAAAATATAAACCCAGTATAATTACAAACTAAATGGAAATACAAATGAAACCCTGTATCTGCAATTGATGGTCGTCAACTTTTCTTAGCTGGTTCAGGACTTTATGGAGCTTAGACATTGTTCTTTGTGCTAGTTTACTACAAAAATATTTCATTAACAATGAAGGAAAACATTGTAATGAAATCTGCATATCATGGGTTTACGACCTTAGGAAAATGTGTGAAGTCACCAGCCCAGACCAGGCCAGTGTAGTAATTATTACTTAATCCATCTCCTTAGAGGATATCCCTGTCTAGCAATGGGACGTGTTGGTGATAGATTCAATGTCATCAATGTGTTTATATATTGTATACAATATTGCAAGGAGAGTATCTGTGTAGTAATTAGTCCTGATACCTGTTACAAATGACAGGTTAAAACAATTATACAAAATAATGTTATAACCAGATTTTTAATACACCAATTTAATCTGTGTAGTATTAATGTTGTTAAACATTTACATTACAGAAAATTGCTGAAGTTTATTGGAAGGAAAAAAAATATACAGCTGCACATAGACATTTCTTGCATTCTAGTGATGGGGTAGCGTATGCCAACATGTTGATAGAACTACATACAACAAAAGGTCTCAAATCAGAGATAGACTTGTTTATAACACAGGCTGTTCTACAGTTTTTGTGTCTGAGAAATGTTCAAATGGCCACAGAGACCTTTGATAGGTATACAGGCTCACATCCCAGGATAAAGAATGACAAAGGCCCCCCTTACATTTTGCCACTATTAAATTTCTTATGGTTTCTTTTGAGAGCAATTGAACAGTGAGTATACAATTTTTCATAACTTCATATTTACAATATATAAGGAATTAAAACATAGTCATATTAGTTTTTGACAAAGTTTTCGGAATTAGGGAGTTGCCACACTCATCAACATGGACTGGGCTTGAGCTATTAAAAAAGCTTTGTGTCCATGTGCAATCAGAGCGAAAAAGACATTGTGCGTCGTGCTTCAAATTTAAACAATGCAACTTGACACTCCTTACTGCATATTCTCAACGGCGTCCTTACGGTGCCGACGATGATGACGTTCGATCAGTGACATCGTCGTTGCCGGCCAGTATTGAGTTACGTGCACCATCACATTACTTGTCATGAATCTCCGCAAAGCAGAGGGTTTTATGTCACAAACCACCAGTGTGTGTTGATGGCTTCACATGCTTTCCAAGTTGCGATCATTTTTCAACATGCAGGTTTCACCAAGATGTTACCTTCATTGTTAGCAAGAGGTTACATTCGGAAATGTACATAACTTAGAACTTTAGTTATATACATACATAGGGCGCACTATAAGTTTCCGGAACTGGCCACTTACGTAACAATATTTAAAAAGTAATTACAACAGTTGAGAATGGAACTCTTTGGCTGTAGAATACAGTTTGTTTCATCTGAATGTCACTTGTTTTTTTTACATTGTGACGTCATTTTAGAAATTGGTTGTATACATCGCGCCTTACCTTACCTTACTTACCAGATTCAACGAAGGGGCGTCAAATTTGGTGTGGGACATACTAACAGGTGACGAAACATGGATTTATAGTTACGGTGCCAAAACAAAGCAGCAATCGAACGTATGGGTCTTTCGAGATGTACCGAAACCAACCAAAGTGACGCGCATGCAAAGTGCCTCTAAGCGGATGATTGAGTCTTTTTTTAATAAATCTGGACACGTGGCTACTGTTGCTTTGGAGAATCGTTGTACCATGAATAGTGATTGGTACACGATCATTTGTTTCCCGAAAGTTATTAACAAACTCCGTAAAAATAATGGTATACGCAATATTATCTTGCATCACGATAATGCCAGTTCTCATACGGTCAGACAGACAAATGAATTTTTGAAGGTGAACAACGGTGACCTTATGAGCCATCCCGCGTACAGTCCCGACCCGACCTTGTGACTTTTATGTATTTCCAAAAATTAAGAACCATTTACGCGGTCAACGATTTCCATCGCCTGAAGGGGCTGTCGAAGAGTATGAAAAATGTTACAGAGATTGTCACGGCGGAGTGGCATAAATGTAAGCAGTAGAGCTCCTTGTGAAAGAGTTCGTCCAGTGAAGTACTGCCACCTTACCTATTTCTGTCGCCAAGCAGTAATGTTAACATTACTGTGTTCCGGTTTTGAAGGGTAAGGGTGCTGGTGAAATTACAGGCACATGGGACTTGTCAACTTATGTCTCAGGGTGACGGGCGCAGTGGCAGTGCTCCTCAGATCTTTGCGATTTGAAGCTCTGAGTGGCACTGCAACTGTTATGGACAGGCGTGTAACTTACCATCAGGCACACGACTTGTTCGTCCCGTCCTTGATATTATAAAAAAAATGTTTTCTAAATTGGTTCATTCGTGTGAAAACGAGCATTAACGCTAACGGAAAATATTTTTTAGAAACAATAAATTCATTTCTGACCATTTATAGTATTTTTTTCTTATTCATTCCGGAAACTTATAGTGCGCCTCACGTATACCATCATAGGTATTTGAATCGTCAACCTTTAGTGAAGCAGCCATTCTCCTATTGTGCTACCAACCCTATCAACACCATCGACTGTAGAATTTTGAGTCCACACATCAGAATGACTGAGGAAAACCTAATCATATTAGTTAGCAAGTGGTCATAGGATTGAAAAGTAACTAAAAAAGCCTTCCATACTTCGATCCGCCGAACATCCACGTCGACAGTGAATCGGCTTGATTCGACAAATGTCGTAACCTCAAGCAGATTCGTTGTCGTCGGTAAGCGTTTTTATCTAGCTTCAATACATTACTAACACTCAAAAGAAGCAAAATCAATTTTAGATTTTTATTAGCCTATTGAACGATAGTGCAAATAAATATGATTCACTCAAATAAAGTGTCCAAAATTATATAAATAGCATTCGTCGCATTACTTTTTTGTACAAATGACACAATAACTTTTTATCTATTAGACTGATAGAAATTTGTAATTAATAATTAATTGATATCTTTACCAGTGTCTTTTTTTTTCAGGAGACAAGCAAATCAATTTAAAGTTCTAAGAAACTGGTATGCAATAAGTATAAAGCGTGACCCTAATTATTCAGTGTATTTGGACAATATTGGGCGCATTTGGTTTGGTATAGAAATTCCACAAGAAAATAAGAATTCTGGTTCTCTAATTGGTGGTCTTTTGAAGTCAATCATAGGAGAAGCCGAAAGTTCTGATGATGAAGGGGACTTTGGCGCAAATTGCGCCGCACCAGACCTAGATTGAGTCAGTAATTTAGAAAAAAGAATGTTGGATTATTTTCGACTGACATATCAGCTATTTGGCTGCATTCATCAACCCTATTTATATTAATTTGTATCTTGCAGTAGTCCGCCAATTCATGTGGAAATTTGTGAGATTCAGGGAGAAAATACATAAAATTTTAATTCTGTATGCAAGCATTGGTTACTCATAAATTGGACTTCTGTCTCACTTGACGTGTTTAACAGAGTGTATAGTACAGTTATTTCCAAATTAATAAGGGCCGGGATTTTATAAATATAATTTAAACATAAGAGTGATAGTATTTGGACATGTGTTTTTATAAATAAAAACATGTTGGCTTTGTCTGGGCTCACTTTATAATTAATTTTATCAGATCATTGTACCATACCAGCTAAATAATACCAATAATGAAAAATAATACATAACTTTTGTTAATAAATATTTTCAGTACCTTATTAATGGCATCACTGACGCTTAATTTTAACTTGTAACACCATGGCTATTCTTGCCTTGACATTAAACTTTGTTTTTATTATATAAAGTAAAAATAGTTCACTAAATTAACTACCATTACAAATAAAAATCAAGTTACATTTTGCTTGGGATTGAAAACAAGTTGTAAGATTTTTCTATAATTTAATTGTCAATAAATCCAGTTAAAATAAAATTATTATTATAAACGTACAGCCATATTTGATTTCATTGTAATATATATTTAGATTACCAAAAATATAACTATGAATAAATTAAACAATTATCTCCATACTCAGCTTAAGAACAGTCATTGCACTATCCACCACACATAAGTGGCATAGAGTTTAATTTATATGTGTTTATCCTAGCCTACTAATGAATGTTATAAGTGCAGTTAAGAACACATCAAGCCACTTTGGACTGTATCATAAGCTAAATCAAAACTTGACATGCTCTTGACCTTGTACATACATGATAGTCCTATGTCAACTAATCACAGCTACTATTTATGGAATCTTTTGTTCTATTTTATACCTTTGGTATCCTAGGCTTTTTTATGATAATATTGTACACTTTTCATAGCTTTGCATCTAATGTGTCCTCTACTACAAGAGAGGTGATCTCCTTTGTCCATGTGGATATTTTTATTACATTTTTCTTAAAATCAAGTTTTACATTTCTGTTGTTGAGGTCCATTGCCTGTATTACTAGAAATCTATTGAATTCATGAACATGTGGATGGTTGAGGAATTCGTCTACATCCATCCATTTGCAAGCTTTAATTTCCATGTCTGACTTCGTAATGGTTTCTGATGTCGCTTTTAGTTTTACTACTACATAGATATCTGAATTTCCAAATGCCATGTTATGAGTATGCCGTAAGGTTACCATTGATTCGAATACGGCATCAATACCTGTCTCTTCTTTGACTTCTCTGACTGCAGCATCTTTTATGTCTTCACCTGAAAAACATGTCAATCATAGTCCTGTGAATATAAGCAGGCTTTCTTATAGCTATTATTTAACTATGATTCTATACATAATATAATAGCTATGTGTATAGAATTATTTGTTTCAAAGTTTTATTGATGTGGATTCTTAGAGAATACTTAATTTTGGTTTATATTTCAATAGCTACAACGTCCAAAGTATAAGAAAATCCTAGATTTACCTCTCTCAACGTATCCTCCAGGCAACTTCCAGTGAGGATATTCTAAATGTTGCTCTGTGACAACTAGAATCTGGTTTTTATCATTAAAGACCATTCCGCCAACACCAAGGTTGGTGTGGCAAGGCGGAGGCAAATTGGAAGAGCTGTCTGTAGGTAGCCATTTGTACATCATTACAAAGCTGTCTCTTGAATGGTGGAAGTTGAAACCTTCCTAAAAGTGTAGATAGATTTTATATTGTTTTATCTACTACATAAGAGTTTTAGTAACACATATACAAAAGACTTGTAGTGTGAATGTATTTGCTGAAAATTCATTAGCTAGATAAAAGGCATTTATATTTACATGTGTTTTCTTTAAGGCTTAAGATTCATTTATTCATTAGGTTGAAATTACATCATGGTCATACTTTCTTCATTTGACATGAATTTTCTTCATGTTGTCAATTGGACGTAGTTAAACAAAAAGGATCGAATCCACATCTAGTCACTTTCAAGATATGGCAGTTTGAAATTTAATAGAGTTTCTCACTTTTGTTTTATTTTGAAAACTTATAATGTTATGTAACTGCAGATATATTTATTTACATTTGTATGTCGGATTGTTTTGGATGATCTAAGAGAGTTTAGGAACTGTTGGGTACACACACAACTCATTTTTCGATAATTTTGTGGATTGGATTCTTTTTGCTTAACTACATCCAGCTGCTTGTGAATGTATAAAAATCTTTACATTAGCCAGTACGGGCACCCAAGTAGCATCTTTAATATTGACTTTGAACCACACAGCTCGTTTCTTCTCTTCAAACCATTTCTCCAGAGAATCTGAAACAAAATCGAAAAATAGATATAAGGAGGTACCACATATGACAGGAAACCAAGTTCAGTAACAAACATTTTCATTTGTGAAATGACCTTTGACTTTTCATGTTGCAAATAGATATATGAACAATAGAACAGGTTTGATATTCGTCAATATTTACTATCTGTATGATCTTTATGACTCCTCTCAATGCAAAGTAATTGTTTGTGTGCTTGATCTACAACAATGTTGAGTTAATTAAAAAAAGGCTACTGCGTACTTTCATTGTTAATTTTCTTTTAAATTTGATTTTATAGTTTTTAAATCATGAGATTAAAGTAATGGTTAAAATATTTATATAGGAATTCATAACGTTTTCAAAACGTTCATTGAATAATGACTATGCGATAAACTTACCTGATAAATGTTTCTGAAACTGGTCAGGCTCACAGGGTTCTTTTTCAGAGTCTACTGTTATTCCACCATATCTGTCTGTAGAGCCGGTAAAAGTTTTTGAAGACATGTTTGTGATTAAATTAAGAATTTAACTGATAGCGATGTCTTCCTGGCTCTCCACATACATAAGGGTTAGGCGACTGCTAGTGACTATCAGGCACGATTTACATACTTTGTATCATGATTCTAGCGAATGAATAAATATACTTAATTTTATCAGGTTTCAAAATCCAAGGTTACGCACACAGAGTACGACGGAGTACGTTTGGCATACCACAAACAACTAGATATAGGAGATATCGTACGTTTGGTATGGTTACGTACTTACGCATGTGAGACGTCAACGTCAAACATATGGATGGATGACATACGAGTATGACACTGACGTTTCGCTGACAAGAATTTACCAAATTAAAAGGGGGTATGGAAGAAGATTCTCACAGGACATTGGCGAAATCGCCATTTTTTTTGTATAATTTTTATAATAATATTAAACTACCGTACATAGTTATTTTTACTTGACATTGGCAAAATCATTGATTATTTCGATGGAGCCATAACATTTAAAAGAAGAAGAAGAAGGGGGTATTACTTATCCTGCATTGCAGTCCGGCTTGCCGTCCGCTGCGTAATGCTGGATTATGAATGTCGTGCAAGCCAAGCTCTGGGTCCTACTAGACTCCATACGTGGGCCATCCGCAGGATAGTGTATGGGCAGTCTCCTGCCTGCGCGTCGGAATGCCATTAAGCTTGTATAGTTCATGAACTGCGAACTATTAAGAATATATTTCCGACACTGGCCGACATGAACTAATTCGTCTTGCACGGTTTTAATAGTTCATCATTTTTAGTTCAGTACGAACTAGGAACTGTCTGCGTTGATAGTTCCCCTGTCTTTTATACAGTAGAAACGATGCGAGCGGGACAAATAGCGATCTTTCACTACTTTTACTACAAGTTCGAGTGAGATGCACGATACAGGGTGTTGATTTGCATTCTCACCATATTTTAGAAATTAATAATATAAATAATGCTACATGATCTAAAATAATAAAAAAATGTACTGTTCAATATTCTGGCTAATTGTACCTAGTAAAGTTTTGTAAAATTGTCCCGCAAGTGTTCTCACCGCAGAGGACAGTGATCCCGTCACTCGCTTCACCAAACAATACGTAATCTTTCTCGATCGCTTATTTACCTATTTTTTAAAATCATGTTTTGGTACCAGTATTGTTATAATTTACTAATTATTTACAAAGTTCACTGAAAAAAGATTTTTTGTAACTTAGATTTGGTACTTACCAACTTTAGGTTACATGAAAGTAATGCTAGAAGTACCTAGCTCCACAGCTGGTGGCAGGCTCCGTACCGGAACCAGCCACAGATATGCAGAGTTTCGTTTCAACTTAGCACATTTTTCACAACAGAAAAAGCAGAAAGAAACCAGAGACGAGTTTTGCGCGCATTTCTTCGACACTCGTAATCTACGTAAACTAAACGTTTCACATCATGCCATAAGAACGCACTTTATGGTAATGCACATGGTAGCCGTTTTTTTTTGCACTAACTCTTGTTTATATCACACACAAACCACGTTGCATTTCTTGAGAAACTAGAACGTTCCCAAATACTTACTTTACTCTTTGCTAGAACGTATGCGCGATGAACGCAGACGCAATACGCAAGGTGGAAGGTGGACTGACAATCTACCAATCACGCACTTGATACGAAACCCCCCCCCCCCCCGAATTTAGGATTTTTTTATTATTTTTTTTAGTAATTTGGGTTCAGTTTCGGATATACAATGTAAATATGGCGAGAATACAAATCAACACATTGTACACGTATATACAAACTTGCGAAAAGTAATATTTTTTGGTAGGTGTGGTAGGTATCTGTGCGGTGTCAATTTCAAAATGTGGAAAATTATAGGACTAGTATTGGAAAAATATCCAGAAATATATAAATTTTTCAAAAAAATATATCATGACGGTTTTATTAGTAACCAAGATTATGCTTTATTAATTGGTTATCAATTGGATTATTAGAGCATTAAAAAAATTTGATAACATTTCAGTTTAATTTCATTCTCACGCTGTCACTGTCATAGACTCGTGCCTATGACCCCCTGATCGGTCCTTAGAGGTAGCGATCCTAGTTAGTTCAATCGGTCAACTGAACTAGGTCGGTCTTTTAGTTCCTTAGTTAGTTAGTTCGTTTTGTCCTTGCTCGGACATTGAACGAACGCTAATAATTTTATTCACATGAACCACTGTAGCCAGATTAGGCAAGTTTTCGCCATTTAGGCTACTTTGAGGGTTCGCGCGGCAACTAAAAAAGTGATCGGCGCCTGGGCGATATTTAGGCTACATTTGAAACAGAAGAAGGCGATTTTAGACTACTTAATAAAATGTTTGGGGAATTACAAATTTGATTGGGGATTTTGGGGGCAATCGAGTTGTAAAATAACTCATTTGGAAGTTTGAATATTTCTACGTGTGGGGAATTGAGGAAATAAGAGAGTTCATATTCCCCAATCTTCGGCAGCAAGCAGAAAATACAATTTGTATGGAATCGGTACTATTTTTACACGTAAGTTGATATTATACATACAGATACCTACTACACCTACCAAAAAAATATTACTTTTTCGCAAGCTTGCTTAGATACAATCATGTAGATACGTATTAGAGATTTAGAAAGAGCTGGCAACGTTTAATCATGCATCCCACTCGAACTTGTACTAAAAGTAGTGAAAGATCGCTATTTGTCCCGCTCGCACCGTATCTACTGTATAAAAGACAGGGGAACTATCAACGCAAACAGTTCCTAGTTCGTACTGAACTAAAAAAACGATGAACTATTAAAAACGTGCAAGACGAACTAGTTTATTTCGGTCAGTGTCGGGAATATATTCATGAACTATACAGGCGTACTGTCAATTAGCGATGCGCGATTAGAATGATTTCGTTGTTCAATTCGTTACTATTCTATTTTTAAAAAGAAGGATGGCTTCTCTTTTAGAATTTTGCCAATGTCTAGTCAGTCATGGGAGTTACACTTTTATTTATTTTCCAATGTTTAAACATTTAACGCTGCTCTTTAGTCTATTCCAATTCTGAAACAATACAACACGACACAATATAGGTACCATCACCATTAATGATATAAATAAAATAAAAATAAATAGTGTTATAATTTAAGTTTGTTAATACTAATAAAATCAGTAATTAATTTCAGTAGAGGATTTGAAAAGACATATAGCAGAAACTGGAAATTTACGGGACGCGGAATGGACGGTGGAAGACTATCGTAGATGGAACAAGTTCTGGAAGGGCAGCTGAAAAATATATGGTCTGGGGTACCTTCATCTAGGCCACATTCACAAATTGAGTTATCCCGTATTCTAAGTTTTGCCAGATGGACCGGGGTGCAGGCATGACCAAGGCGAAGTCGGCATATCGTAGAAGTTACAGATTTACTGAATCTTTTAAGGTTAAAAAACCAAGGTTTTTTTGGGGATACTTATTTGGATATCAGCATAGTACTTGCCCTTGATAAGCTTGATTTTATTCCACTCATTGCTCCATGAGAAAAACATATCATTGGTAGCTAAAGGCAGGAGGTCATAGGTAAATGTCCTATAATGATTAAGGCAACCTGTTTGGATAGCGTTTTTCGCCAGTATGTCTACGGTTTCATTGCCTTGGATCCCGCTATGACCTGGAATCCACGCCAATACAACCTGAATGTTATTACTATGGCATTGATACAAGACCTCCTTGATCTTCAGGATATTATGGAATTTACTTTTACTAACAAATTGGTTTGCCAGAATAGCCTGTAAACAGCTTTTTGAGTCTGAAAAAATTATACTTTTGTTCAGTTTGTGAGATTCAACATAACTGAGAGCTTCAAGTAGGGCAGTAGACTCTCCTGTGAATATTGATGCCTGAGATGGGCATTTACAGTTCAGAATAATTTCATATTTTGGGATCCATACAGCCGCACCGACACAACCATCAGCAGCCAGCTTGGAAGCATCCGTATACATAGTCAACCAGCCCTGCCAGTCCTTAGCCAAGGCCTTATTAAACTGTCTGTCTGCAGCAGGGGAATCTTTGTAAATACCAAAGTCCAAGATTATCTCAGGTTTAAATATTATTACATCATAAAGACAAGAAAAAAGGGGATTTTTAGCGCATTGGAAAACGGGAGAATTGATTTTGATAAATTTGTGGTAACTTTTAAGAATGCAGGGTATATCTTTGATTTGCCAATATTTAGAAGATCTAGTTAGATCAGACAGTTCGTGAAGCTTGGCCAGAAGAGGGTGAGGAGATAGTTGCGCCACCTTGTACAAAAATCTATCAGCGAGAAACTGCCTTCTTAAAAAGAGAGGGGGTTCCACACACTCAACCTGGAGAGCATTTATTGGTGTAGACTTCATGGCTCCAATGATGAGACGGAGACACTTTGATTGGATTTTGTCCCACAAATTGAGGGCAGTTTTATGACACGGTTCCAATAAAAACGAGCCGTAGTCAAAGTGACTACGGATTATGGCATTGTACAATATTTTTTGACAGAATGGGTGGGAACCCCACCAAGTGCCTGACAGGGAGCGGAGAATATTAATGTTAGTCTCACACTTTTTGGCAATAAAGTTTAAATGAGGGACGCCCGTCAATTTGGAATCTAGTATGAGCCCCAGAAATTTGAAATTGTCAAAGATTGTTATACGCTGGTCTAGGATATTGACTGGAACTTGTGGGGTGAACTTTTTCCGGGAAAAAACCACTACACCACTTTTAGGGGCAGACAAAGAAAGACCATGGTCAGTTAGCCAATCGCCTAAGTACTGTAAAGCAGTATTCAGACGGAGACCGATGTCATCCAGTGACGAGCCGTGGGCATAAATAGTCAGATCATCAGCATATTGGAGGATACTACAAAAACTGTTCACTGATCTCTCCAGATCATACGTATAAATATTGTACAGCAAAGGACTGAGAACAGATCCTTGCGGAAGGCCCCTCCAGACGTTCCTTGATGCGACAAAGTTTCCTTGGAAACGAAACAAGCATGTCCTACACGAGAAGAGATTAAAAATGAAATTGGTCAATCTTACCGGGATGCTCAGCTGATGCATTTTTTGCCTGAGCAGGGGAAGAATCACACTATCATAAGCAGCGGAAATATCCAAGAAAACACCAATCAGAGACTCATTCTTTGAGAAGGCCAGGCGAATATCAGAGACCAGGAGACTTATGCTATCCATAGTGCCGCTACCCTTCCTAAAACCAAACTGGCTTTTAGCTAAAATATCTCTATTTTCCAAGAGCCACTCCAACCGATTTTTAATAAGATGCTCCATGATTTTCGCTAGGGTAGAGGATAACGCAATGGGACGATAGTTGGAAGAGTCTGTAGCATTTTTGCCTGGTTTCAAAATAGGGATAACCACATGCGTCTTCCATTCCTCCGGAGGATACCCTGAGAGGAATATGGAGTTAATAATTTCTAAAAATGTCATCTTAGCAGAAGTCCTCGCATTTTTCAAGAAGGAATATGGTATTCCATCTACTCCTGGGGAGGAGTCCTTAAGTTGGTCCAAAACTAGGAGCAGTTCTGAGAACGAGAATGGGTCATTCATACGATCTGGAGAAGCCAAGGCGGCAGCAAATGCAGAAGCCTCCTCTTGACTGGGGACCCATGGAGGGCATAGCTTGTTCACAAAACCATCGAGCCAACATGAAGGATCGAAGCTGGAGGGATCGTTATTGCGTTGAGAACAGCGAAATCTTTTGATGTTTTTCCAAATGATAGAAGGAGGAGAACGGGGTGAAATGGTTTCGCAAAACCGCAACCAACCAGATTTTTTCTTCTCTGAAAGAAGCCGTTTGGCTTGGGCCGCTGCATTCTGGTAGTGTAAAAAGTTATTTGTGGTCATAGAGCTGTTATACTGGATTTCAGCTTCTTTTCGTTTAGTAACAATAGTAGTACACTCGTGATCCCACCATGGAGGGGAAGAGATTAGGCTCCGAGGTGAGTTTTTAAGGGGGATAGAGGCCATTGCGGAAGAATTGATTGATGCTACAAATCTGGAATAGGTTTCTTGAAGAGATAAATCCCCAACACTGGGCAGGGACTGTAGCTCTAAATCCAGACATTGACCATACTTGTCCCAGTCAGCCTTAGAGGTGTTAAATTTTAATAGAGAAGAGTGTTGCTTCGATGGAGTGCAGCTGCTTGTTACAGAAACGAGTATGGGGAAATGATCACTTCCGAAAGTATATGGAAGAGTCCTCCAAGAAGAACTGGGCACTAGGCTTGGAGAGCACAAAGTAATGTCCACAGCTCGTCTTGTATCCTGGAGAGGGAAAGATCTACGTGTCGGAGATCCATCGTTGAGGAAACATATATTAAACTCATCAAAGATGTCTAATAAAAGATAGGAGAATGTGTCATTTTTATAGGAACCCCAAGCAGTGTGGTGACTATTAAAGTCCCCAAAGATCATGAGAGGGGAGGTAATACTAGAAAACAATAGATTAAGCTCAGGAATGAGGGAGTGATGTGGGTGGGGAATATAGACAGACATGAATGAGATATTAAAAGCCCTGACGGCAACAGCATTAATTTCATTAGTATTGTGGTCAGGGAGGGAAACTTTATGGAAAATAATTGAGTGTTTTATTAAGATTAGAGTACCTGCGTACCCATCTGCACGATCCTCTCGGACACATGTATAGCCCGGGATACGGAAAAAGGATCCCGGAATCAGCCACGTCTCCAAGAGGACGATGATAACGGGTTTATATTTATTTATAAGGTATATGAGATCAGGTTTTTTAGGTCTAACACTCCGACAGTTCCACTGCAGAAGGTACAGATCCATTGTAAAATTTATTGACGATAGGGGAAAGTTTATTAAGCACGTGGGACGGTAAATCAGTGTCATCAAAACGGGATAAGATATTTAAAAGTGTAGAAAGTAGTAAATCGAGGAAGTTGTCATTATCTGGTGTATTAGACCTATTTAATAAGGCGGAGCCGTTAGGTAAAGAGGAAGAGGGAGTTGCGATTAATTCCATGTGGGTTTGGTTGTCATAGCCTGAGGTTTGGCGGGGTGGCTTTGGTTTCTGGTTTGTTGTTACGGTTTTTCTATATGAAGTGGTGGCTGGACGGGAGGGTTGTGGAAAGGACAATGAGTCAGATGGTATATGTGTGGATGTAGATGCAACGTCGGCGAAAGACCGTCTGACGGCCGGGAAGCGAACAGAGGCTTCTAAGTAAGAGACTTTTTCTTGTGACATCACAAGCTTTATTGACTTTTGCCTTGATAGTTCGGGGCAGTTTTTGTCGTTAGATTGGTGCAAAGCTGAACAGTACAAACATGTTGGGGTGGTTACACTACATGTTTCCCCAGAGTGGGGTTGGGCACATTTATAGCACCGAGGTTTGGACCGACATTGAGCTTTGACGTGGCCAAAGCGGCAGCATTTCAAGCATTGGATGGTGGGGAGGAGATAGCTTTCCACAGGGAGAGAGGAGTAAAACAAGTAAACATGCTGTGGCAAGGACTGGCCAGAGAAAGTGACTACGACTGATTGAGTGGGGATCCACTCAGTAGTATCATTGTGTGACACCTTTCTATTTAGACGGCGGGCTTTAATGATATCGCCAGTTCCTGAAGGTAAGACTAGGCTCTCTACTAGTTCGTCCATTGTGAGGTCATTTGGTATACCTCTGATTACTCCCATGCGGGTAATTATGTGGGTGGGGATGATAGCCTTGTAGTCCGCCTGACCGAGGATTGGATTTTGTACAAAATTGTTTGCTTCATGTGCTGAAGCAAATTGCATTGACAGCCTATTGCGACCAACAGCCTTCAGGCTGCCATTTATAATATTTTTAATTTTATTTTTGAATAGAAATTGGCCAAACTTGACAGGTCTTAGTGTTAAACCACTATCTGGGGCAGACTCCAAACGTGAGACTTGAACTACAAATGGACCTTTATCATTAGTAGAATAAATTTTCTTTTCCTCGGCATTGGGGTGCGTATAAATGGTTTGTATAGATGCCGATGGGGTTACAAATTCAGTAACGAGTTTTTTTGGGGTACTGTTATCAGTTTCTGCTATACAGCTTTTCCGTTTACTACCAGATATTGTAGGAGTAATCGAAGTAAAAAGGTCGGGGGATGGCGGCAGCGGCCCCGACTCCCCGGATATATCCGGAGGGTCAGTACCGCCTCCTTCAACCTCCATATCAGACATAAAACTACATATAATTTACCTTCACCACGCAAAACACACACAACACAATAAACGGCACGCACAGATATGGGAAATCTACAGAAATAAACAAATTCGCAGTTCAGAGAGTAAGAAAAGGGTCAACAAAATCTTTAGCAAAAAAAAGAGCACGTGTATCTTCCAATCACTCTGACCGAATCCAATTCGTTACTAATCGTCCTAGTTAATCGCTAATCCTGTCATTCGAATGTCAAAGTAGTAACCTACTAATTTTCATATTCGAATGATTTGAATGATCATTCATTACTAATTATTAGTTCTAATCCATAGATTCCATAGAGCATTCTGCTCGTGATCACCTAGCCCTCTCTGACGTAATGATAAATACTGTAAATGTGACGGGGACAGGGACATTTTGGTATGGACATATGGACATAATGAATGATCAATCGACTCGTGCAGCCGACCGAATGCGAATGGTATTGGCATTCGGTATTGTTAATCATTCAACTCGAGTCGAATGATTGTGCTTCGATTCGAGTTTGGCGAATGATTGCCCATTCGAATGATTAGTATTAGCATAGTAGCATTCAAAGTCGCGCATCGCTACTACTGTCAATGTCAAAGTCAAAAGGGTAGGGTAGGGAATCTCTGCAAATCCAGCACGGGTATTTAAAGTTTATTTTCAAGTTTTTTAACGATATGATTTCATTAAAAAGCAAATTTTTTTACCATAGTTACACACTGTGTGTGTTAGCTTTCAAAACTCCCGTGAGAAAACAAATTCTCAACATGAAACGTCACGCGTGAGTAAATTATATCATGCATGTAACTTGATTTATAGACCGTATAAATAGCTATTATTATTGTGGATATGCGTCGTAATAATGGATAGTTATTGCACTTTATTGCTCACACACAAAACAAAAACAGTACATAGATAACTTAGAATTACTGTGGGCAAAGGCGGCCTTATCGCTGAAGTAATATTTTTACAGGTTTATACCATGTTGCCGATATGCAGGTCAAGCCTCGCAAGAAATTTTCAGTGGAAAAATAGATATTTTCAAAGGAATCACTGTTGATACTGCCACATTAAAATGCGAGAAGGACAAGTTCGAAAAGATACTAGTAGGTGAGTAAAGTACTTAAAGTCATGGACAGATTATTGTATTATTCGTTTAGTAGCAATCGAGCACAGGCGTGTAGCTGACTTTAATTTAACTCAAAAATCAACAACACTGACCATACCAGAAACTATGAAGAGAAATAAATATTTTTTGTTTATAATATATTTTAAACTAAGCTTATACTCTAGTGAAATTTGACATAGAATGTTTAATAACAAAACATTTCTAGACAAACAAAGATGGCATATGAATAGACAATGTATTTTTCAGTATACTCATCATTTGGAATTGTGTAATTGGAACTTGAATAGGGAATCGGGTTATGTAGAAGTAATACTTACCTGGCCGAATATTATAAAATTTTTAAGTATTTTATTTATATAATTTATTATAATATTTATAAGTATTTGATATTGATGAAAAAATAATTAAGTTTTTAATACTTACTAGGTTAGTAGGTAATGATAAAAAAAGATACAAAATTTTATTTTACATTAATTTACTACACAATCTTATCAACCTTCTATTTCGTACTGTGAACTTGAATTATTACTTGAACTCATATGTTTGCAATGTCTCCCTTCAAATAAAAAAAAAGAGGGATGACACAATTGTATAAATGATTAATTACTGGTAGTTTTTATGTGGTTTCAAATCACTTGCTCCCACGATTTTGTTTAACTAAGGTAAATGATTCTTTTATGGGGAACTGTATGTTTTTACAATAAGGTTCCGGAGCATACATTAAGATTATCATTTCCTAAGTTTAAAACTTACATTAAAAGTATTGTATTTCAAAAGTCATATTACAAAATTGAAGACTATGTGTTATATAAAGATGTGTGGAAAGATAGAGTCTAGATTCCACACAAACATGATGCAGAGTGTATTCCATAGCGTTTAAGTTTATTTGAAAAGAGCAATCCCCAAAGTTTCTTGCTCATTTTTCTCAGGGAGGTCAGCACAGTGAATGAGCAGTAGCTAAAAAATGACATTTTCAAGTTTTATTTATTTTAAAATTTTACCAATGGAATAAATGATTATTTGACTTTGACTTACTAAACAAAATTGGTCACAGTCATAACTTGAAAATTCAATTTGGTAACAGTAACTATAAAACAGTCTTGTGGTGAAAACCCTAAAAAACTATATATCTTTTTATTTGTTGACATTTTATTCTAAATAGAATTTAGCTAGTGGGCATTTTTTTAACCATGCTTTAAATGATTTTTTTTGTTATTTATTACAAATTGAAATGAATAATATATGGATTTATTGTTTTTCAGAATCATTAAAGCAATGGAACATAGAAGGCAAAAGATGTATATGGTTTAAAGTGAACATTGGAGATGCATGCTACGTCCCAATCCTAGCTAAAGTAAGTGTGATTTTTAATAATTGTGATTTTTATGAACACTAAACCTGAAATGAAACTATTTTTGAAATTTAAGTGTTCAGCAAAAACGTCGTTAAAAACCAAAAACAAAGATCTGCAACAAGCGCATCGAAAAGTTCGTAAGGTCTGCTCCGTTGTTCCGAGGCTTAGTTGACATAGCGTCTGACACGGTTTGCTGTAGGACGCTGATTCAAAACAGCCAGATCGAAGGAATTTTTTCTTAGTGTTCCGTCTTTGTATTAATAATTATAATATTTCAGATCTAAAAAATGTAATATAAGTTTTTTTTAAACGTTCTGGGCTCTTTACAAAGCCACGGTTCCCAGTCAGCCGTGACTATCATGATTTAAATCAAAAGTCCGAGAAAATAGTTTCATTTCCAAGCTATCCGAAAAATTCAACTCAATATTATTTATAACCATAATTTTAGTCAAAACATTCATACCACATGGTTATTCTCTTCGGATCGTCATCATACTGTTGCAGCCAGGAAAGTCCTTTAGTTCTATAATGCTGTTGGCCTTGGCTCTGAACTGTAATTAGTGGTGATCACAATAGATTGGTCAATAGTCAAATAAGCTCCGAGTGAAGCCACCCTAACAATAATAATGTGGCTATTCTCTTACTGTAATAAGTGTCGTCCCCTTTGTTTATATGATTATACCAATTATTATAGAAAGTTCGTTACTTATTACTATTATATTGTTTAGTGTTATCTAATTTGAAAATCCCCAGAGTTCAAATGTGAAATCGGTGACGTATTTTAGGTAAATGACCTGTTAAGTGATCAAGTGTATCTCCTTAATATTGATGCAAAACGTCAACAATATAAAATCAATCATCGGACAATGAAAATGTCAGTTAATTTAGTATTGATTTAATAATTTGGCAAGGTGAATTCTTCATTTGAAATTAATTTAAGATTAGCAAAGCACGAAATTGACACCTATTATAAAGGAGAAAAAGTAGCGTTTAAACATTAAAATGGTGGTTATGGTACTTATTGACGTTTAAGAAAGTTATATGTTCTTATTAGCCTTTTACGTTTTAAGTTAACTAATGTGCTTTTGTATAATACAAGAATTGTCTCTAGAAAGGCTTTAATTTTCATCATGCTAGAGGAGACTTCGTCATGATGTACAAATGGCTGCCAAAAGACGTTAAAGCCAATTTGCCACCATCGAGCTACACGAATGTCGGTGTTGGAGCAATGGTGTTCAATAAGGAAGGAAATCTACTGACGTTATCAGAAAAGAGTTATGACTATGCTCATTGGAAACTGCCTGGAGGATATGTTGAAAAAGGTATGAGTACACATGCCACCCTAATTGCATTAATAAATAAATATAATTTTAATATTCTAGAGGTGGAGAAAATGATATCTATTTGCCAAGTTTTATTGGCATCGTATAAGGGAAAGTGTGTGAAATCCAGTAAACCGGATTCCTCCCCTAATTTGCCACCCTTAGAGGTGGAATATTTTCTTCAACTTTGAATGGGACAACTACTGAGGGGCCACCTTTCCAACAAAAAAAATCATCGAAATCGATTCACAAACGTCGTCGGAGTAAACGGGTAACATTACGGCCATTTCCTCATGCTCCTACAGGGTGATCCTACTGGTAGGAGCACGAGGACTAACATGTCGTTATGCTCCTACTGGTAGGACCAAAATAATAAATATGTCCGAGTGCTCCTACTAATACACTGTCACGTATATTTATATGTAATTGATATTGTAGTACTTTTATGTATGTTGCGTGATGTTAGGACAATTACAATCTGGGCTCCTGGGCGTCTTTGAGAAATAAGAAGAATAGTAATATTCTCTTTATGAAAAATAGTGACAGACGTACTAATAACATCAATAAGTGGAATAAAAATAAACTGGTTGTTCTTGATATGCGTCTTCACAATGTCACAAACTCATTTAAGGGGCAATATATTCGCTTCTATCTGCGTATATACTAATAAGATTCGGATTGATTTTCAAACTTTGCCATTTACGAGGCTTAAAACTATAGTATAAGAAAAACTTTATACTAAAGGTAATTATTATACAACATCTGCGCAGGTACTTCGATGACAAAAATCCATAGTAGTGATCCGTTTAGCTGTTTCAGGTGGTTTCTGTATGTACATTTAAATTACTATATTAGTTTTAAAGAGCAACCCCTAGAGTTTCTTGTCATTCTTCTCAGGAGAAGCTGCCTTACGAAAGAGCGCAAAGTGACGATTTCAAGTGTAATTTTCTTAGGAAATGAAATACCGGGTACAAATACTTCGCTTCGTTTGTCCAATATAAGAGAGACCGCACTCACAGTCAAGCTTGTAAACTCCTGCATCCTGTAAGGGGATGTTACATTTCACGGGTCTCAGGAACTGAGAAATCTTCCTCAGGGGCTTGAAATAGGTCTTGATAGATCACGTCTGAGGACTCTTCCGATCTTGTCTGTAACACCTCTCACGTAAGGTAAGATGACAGGTCTTCGCTCGACTGTTGGTGGTTTCACATGGGGTCTGCGGCATTGGCGTGGAATCTTCAACTTATTAGCATGTAGGACTTGCTTTATGAAGTTCCCCTGTCAGATGATTACTGTCGCAGACACCATGTGCTCTCTGAAACAAAGATTTGCCCACGGTAGCTAACTGGCTAGGATAGTGATGGGAATTACCATTGAGATACCTATATGTATGGGTTTTCTTTCGAAATACATTGTAGCCTAAGGTGTTATTAGGATTTCTTTTAATTAAAACATCTAAGAAATCTAAAGCACCACAATTCTCTTGTTCCATAGTAAATTGGATTTTAGTACTAAAAGAATTAAGATGGTCCAAGGAAGAAGGTATGCTATATTTTTAGGTAATATTGTGAACGTATCATCAACATACCGTTTGAAAATCTTCGGCCTAGCTGGGGCCATGGGTAAAACTCGCTCCTCGAAGTCTTCCATGAAAATATCGGCATCAACGGGAGATACCGGGGAGCCCATCGCTAACGGGGTCTCTCTTATATTTGACAAACGAAGCGAAGTATTTGTATTCGCCTCAAAGAACATATAGCTGATGTCAAACACCGTCGCGTAAATAGGTCTGCAGTCTGCGAGGATGCAATTAAAAAACATCCTAATTTCAACAGGGAAGATGGTTTCTCCGTACCACCAGTTTGGGATCCAGATCCATTTCCTCTAATGAAAAATCCCAAACAGACATAAGACTGCAGTACTAGTTAAAATGTTTTAGTTTATTCTAATTTCTATTATTAATTAATAATCAATTGAACTTAATAAAAATTCATGCAATAATATAATTTGTAAAACTTAATGTAGCGTAAATTGGAATGTTTTCTTTGTAAAATTAAAAATAAGGTATTTAATTAATAACTATTGTAACTATAGTGAAAAAATATGGTGGTTTGCATCAATATTAGACATAACTGGTTGAAGACTGTACCACCTCAGTCAACCGTGACCATGGGACCTGTAAAGGGCCCGAAACGTCAGCTTGTTTGAAAAAACAAATATACGCGATTTAAACTAAACGGATCAACTACTATGGATTTTTGTCATCCAAGTACCTGCGCAGATGTTGTATAATAATAAGATTTAGTATAAAGTTTTTTTTACGATGGCGATGATTGTGATGATGATGCGCATGGTAATGATGCTGATGATAATGGTGATCATGATTATGAAGTTGATGGTGATGATAACGATATTTTGATGTACAATAAAGTTTATATGACATTAACAAAATACTTATTTAGATTTATTTATTAATTACATATAGATAGATAGATGGTCTTACACGGATGAGAAGGATTTTGATACAAGAAGTTATATTAAAATATATGTTACATGTTAAATGTTCTTTTGTGAACGATAAAATGTGTGTTGTAGTAATAATTTCTTATTACTGTGCCGTCTTTCTCATTTATGTTTATGAGAAAATCATTCGTGTTCCAGCAATCTCATTCGTGTGACCTAAAATATCGTTTTTTGTTGTATTTAACTTAAATATTTCTGTGATTTTATAATTATTGACATTGCGTGAACTTATTTGTACGTTTAAGACCTTAAAACCAAAAGAAAAAGGGTTTTACAAAAACCACTCAAAAAGTGCAAAAAGTTGGTGAAATACCGGTCTTTTTCTCAGACACATTTTTTTTCGAGCTATGAACAATTTTTCACAAACAGTTGAGTTACCTCAAACCAAAACTCCATATCTAATCAGAGATACAACGTGACCATGATAGGCTGCCAAAACTGTGTGTGATGATGACACATTTCGCAACCTCCCCAGAACGTATACGTAGCGATGTAACTTGTTTATTAATGCCTCCACATGGTGCGACCAGTTGCAGGCACTGTCTATTTTTACGCCTAAGGATACTGTTGAGTTTGCCTCCTGTATACCGACATCCTTGTAGTTAATATTTAGTTTCATTTTAGTTTGTCGACTTGTACCAAATTGAATAAATTTGGGTTTGTCAAGTTTACAGTTAAATTATTATCATTTAGCCAATTTGTTATTAAACCTATTGTATTATTAATGTATGATTCATAGTTAAAAATATCATTTTTGTATGGTAAAGGGTGTCACCATAAGAGTGCACTTTTTCATTTTAAAATAAAAACACGTATTTTATGAGAGAGTTGTGATATTTTTATTATATTTTGTAGAAGACATGTTCTGATTATGTATGGAATAAAATATCCGGCAAATCTCTGATGACAAGCCATTACTCTTTTCATGAAATTTTCCATGACTTTTTCACAGAGATGTGGCTGTATCTCACCGATGACGCGTTGGATCTCTGATTTAAGCTCAGGAATTGTTTCTGGTTTATTCGCATAAACCCTAGATTTCACAAAACCCCAAAGAAAAAAATCTCACGGCGTATAAATCGCACGATCTTGGTGGCCAGTTGACATCAGAATTTCGTGAGATAATTTGTTCTGGAAATCGTTGTTGCAATAAGTCGATTGTTTCATGCGCGGTGTGGCAGGTGGCGCCGTCTTGCTGAAACCACATGTTGTCCAGATCCTTGCCGTCCAGTTGAGGCCACAAGAACTCCGTTATCATGTTCCTGTAACGAATGCCGTTCACAGTCACTGCAATTTCGGCGTCATCTTCAAAAAAGTAAGGCCCAATCACGCCGCCTGACCAAAATCATCGTTGTGAGTGCATTTGTTTCTCATGAATTGCATGAGGATTTTCTGAGCCCCAATTTCGACAATTTTGTGTATTCACGTAGCCATTCAAATGAAAATGCCCTTCATCGGAGAAGATCACTTTTTTCGAAAAATTGGCATCGACTTCACTTTGCTCCATTACCCATTGAACGAATTGCCGGCGCTTTCCATGGTCTGCTGGTTTGAGCTCCTGAGTTAGCTGAATCTTGTACGCATGAAGGTGGAGGTCTTTTGTCAAAATTCGCTGCATAGTCCTTCGTGAAATTTGAAGTTGCTGAGAACGATGCCGAATTGATGTTTTCGGGTTTTCGGCGACACTCTCGTTTACAGCAGCAATGTTTTCAAGAGACCAAACGGTACGCTGACGCAAAGGAGTCTTAATATCCACAATCGACCCAGTTTCTTCAAATTTTTTGACCTGTCTTCGAATGGTTGACACATTAGGTACACTTTCTCGACTGAAAGCGAAGTTTGCGAGCGGTCTCAGCGTAACTTTCCCCATTTTTGTATAGAGTTTTCACAATTATAACGCGTTGTTCTTTCGTGAAGCGCTCCATTTTTAATAATCGGAATAAACATAGGTGACGGCAGTCAAATTTCAGAGTTGCCACTTGCACGAAAAAAAAATGATTCTAAATTTAAAAAGTGCACTCTTACTGAGACACCCTTTATTATAACTGTAATGTCATCCGCAAATAATATACATTTATGTAGTGTAATCTCTGGTAGGTCATTTATACAGAGCAAGAATAATAGCGGGCCGAGAACGCTACCTTGCATTGGGACACCACATGCATTGGCTCTGTATTGCGATTTTGCTTACTCTACATAGCCATTTTTTGTTTGGTATTTTATTTCTACACTTCAAATACCTAGGTTGTTCAGTTTTTTCAGTAGAATGTCATGTGACACAAAATCAAACGCTCGAGTCATGTCAAAAAATATCGTAGTCGTAGGTATTTTTGCATTTGTGTTCTCCACTACCTGTCGTACAAGACTAAATGAAGCCAGAGTAATGGATTTTTTTGATCCTACCGGAAATTGAACGCGGTACATCATCATCAAGTCCACAGTGCAAACGTTGGTGCAGCGAGTTAGCAGTCAATTAGGAGTTACTTTATACTAAATAAATTCGCATTCGCAAAGCCAGCGCTCCGTCACTCGCTCAAGGTTATGCGATAAGTGCCTAACGCTGAGTGCGTCGACGTCGGCGTAAGTGCTCGTACAAGTCTTTCATTTATGAGCATTTGGCTCCGCACGACTGCTTATGGCGCGGCGGGCAACGTTATTTCCACCTATCTGAGTGCGTGCTTAAGTTCGTTTTTCTTCGTAGTGAGCGCTTGGTGTCATTAGTCACATTTAGTAGGCTATTATAGCGTAGGTATTTTCGATTTTATATGAGAGTGTGCCTGTAACGTAGTAACTATTAAATAATCTGTGGCAAAGCGCATTCCATGTTAGCGAGCAACCAAATTGTATGTAAATAAGCATCCGATTGTCCGACCACAAGTTATCACATATTATGTTTCTGTCATTTTTTTGGCTATATTTCATTGACATTCCAGGTGAAGATTTAATAGACGCAGCTGTAAGAGAAGTAAAAGAAGAGACCGGTATAGAATCGGCCTTCGAATCTTTAGTAACGTTTCGCCACACTCACGAAGGAATGTTCGGCAACTCCGATATTTACGTACTTATCATGATGAAAGCACTGTCCGAGAAAATTTTCATTTGTCGAAGAGAGATCAGAGACTGCAAATGGATGACTGTAGAAGAGTTCACAACACATCCTGACGTGCATAAGTTGAACAAACTGCTGGTACTGAAAGCGTTGGAATATAAAAAAAACAATTTGAAACTAAACTTTGTAAAGAAAACTGTAAAGTGGTCAACATACGTTAGAGAAATGAACTTTTTACTTATAGACAAATATCATTAATTGGCGGTACAGAGATGCATAATGTCTGTTAATTTGTAAATATTTGTACATAGTATTTATAATTATATTTTTACTTTTAGTTGTCTCATTTACAATACTTGTTGTATAGTAATGGGAGATATTTGATATATTTTTATGACGTCTTTGTTATTTTTATTACAAGTTTAACCAATATCGTGCGGTTTTATTATTTTATGTAGTTTTTATCGTTCGCTGTTGTTGAAAAAGTCAAATACATTTGTTTCACATTTTTACAATAGTGTGTCGAATTAACTAATTATAGTTATTTGTTATGTAAGGCTGCAAAGTTGTGTTTGACGCGAGTACTTGTATTGTAACGTGAGCAAGCGAAGGATGCAAAGATTAAAATAAAAAAATAGAGTCCTGAGCGTAGCGAGGGTTTCAAGGCACGAGACGCAAGACAACTTTGCTGCCGAGCGAAATGCACAACTTTTCACCTCACTATAGCGAAGAAAATGGTAGATGAAAGAAAAACAGTGGACCTATAACAAATCAGTTTTATTCATACGTACATCAAAAATTAGTTATCGTTGTCAATTTAATGTCAACAACAACAATAATAATAATAATAACGCACACACTCAACAAAGCCCTGCACTAGGGAAACTGTGTCGCGGGTGCCATGGACACACACATAGACAACTACAAATTACACCCAAACTCACGAGAGAAATAAATGTAGGTCATACAAATATTTCTCCCGGCCCGGGAATCAAACCTGGGACCTCAGCGTTGCAGTCCGGCATGGTAACCGTTCGGCCACGGAGGCAGTTTAAAAATAAAATATATCCACGGATGTAACATAAATTAATAATGTATGTACTTACCCATATACGGCCCGCTGCTTTGACGATGTCGTCCACGTATCTCTATACGTGGACGACATCGTCAAAGCAGCGGGTCGGGCTATAGGTCGTGCCATGTTTCTACAACCATTTTCTTGGCCATCATTCGGTTATAGCTTCTCCATCTTTTTTTATTAAAAAATTAAGTTTCTTCTTTTTTTTATAATATGAAGTGACGGGACGAACAAGTCGTGCGCCTGATGGTAAGCTACACGCCTGTCCATAGCAGTTTCAGTGCCACTCAGTCTATAAATCGTAAAGATATGACGCGCACTGCCACTGGGCCCTGAGACATAGTTGACTAGTCTCATGTGCCTGTAATTTCACCAGGACCCTTATCTTTCAAAACCGGTACACAATAATGCTGACATTACTGCTTGGCGGCAGAAATAGATAAGGTGGCAGTACTTCCCTAGACGAACTCTGTCACAAGGAGCTCTACTGCTACTAAATTCCAGTTCCATGTCAATAAGTTTTTTTTGTGAAGCCACCTGCTACTCTATTCTGCTCTACTGTTAGTATAGTGAGTAGATATATGTAGGTATATGGTGGGACCTCTCACCTAATGGAAAGTGACGATGATGTCGATGGTGAATTATGCAAACCTAAAGCGCAGGCTACACCGCGAACGAAGATAAGCTAACGTAGCTTAGCTAACCTAGCCGGGGCATCTGTTCATACTTCGGTTCACACCGCGAACTAAGCTAACCAAGCTGACTAAACTATCCCCACGATCCCGCTAGCTATGTAAAATATGTCGCCCTTCTGCCGCCCTTCACCCCCGTATCCATAGTCACTACTTACTACGTATTTTCTTAGCTTAGCTTTGCAACTACGTGAGCTAAGTTAGCTAGCTTCGTTCACGGTGTGGTCTGCACTTAAATAACGTGTCCGCAGACAGGGAATTCCACTCTATAGGCGATCGCCGGAACAAAATTTAGAATGGTAACGTTTCGTGCCACAACATAGAGGTGGTACCCCAGACTACGTCTAGTCCTGCGATGCTGGAAAGGGAAGATGGAATTAATCTATCTGTTTTCAGCACGCCTCGCATTATGTCCTACTCTGCACCATTTTAAGTTTGTAATCCGGTTTCCTGGGTACGTACGTCTTCGAATTTCCGAATTCGGAACTCGGTCTATAAGTTTGATGCCAAGCAAGACTCGCTCCAAAAAAAATGATCATAAGAATTTTAAGTATGATCGCAGGTCAATTGGGGAAGTTGTTCCTAGGAACAACCAGCCCCTCGAGGGAGGAACTTATAGCCCCAAATTACGTTTTTATACGAAGACTGACATACTGGCAAAGTAATAGAATCAATGAAAACAATACCCAAACAATAAGATTACTTACTAATGTCACTACAATTTAGAATAGTTACGTATGAATCGGCCTATAATAAACAAAGACAGACCAAAAAATTTAAACAAGAAAAAATGTACTTACGTGATGTTTTGAAAACTCCACGCACATAGCCACACTTCCGTCGTCGCTGGAGTAACTGTATTGCTATATATCTTTCTTGCAAAGTTATTGCTGTGAGAACAACTTACTCCGGGAACTACCAGACCCGTTCTCCCCTATACCTATAAGTATTTTGATTTGATTTTTTGCCTTCTATCTTAGTTCCTGAATTTCGGAGGGAGGTATAGGTGTGAAGGAGGTGTCCACTCTGTCTTTTACTGGAAGTTTAGGGAAATCAACTCTACCTATTAATATTACCGACAGTTTTGTAAATTATTTTTAAGTAGGTATGATATAAACAAAATAATGTAAAATTTTCAATACGGATTTTATACTGATTGAACATCTGTAGGTACCACTGAGCTGAAATAGGTATTTATACTGGTTTATATATCGGTGAATAAGCGCCCTGACCGGTTTAAGGCTCCGAAAACATAACTAGCTATTCCTCAACAGCTTCGGGGTACGGTGCTGATTAACTTGTGCTCTTCGGTTAGAGTAGGTAAGGCCCAATTTACATTTTTGGAACGAAATTGTACATAGTATAATGAACTTTAAGTCTATTGTGTAACGCTCACAAGTTAGATACGATAATAGTAGCTGTGGGAATTTCCGATATAGCGCGAGAATTCTCCGAATAACGCGCTACATGTTTTTTGGCTCGTATTTAGGTGTAAACTGGATAGTCTTTAGGTATAGATTACAAGTAAAACTTAAAAGTCTATTTTTGGTAAATTGATTGTATTTTGTAAAAAAATCTTGGAACAAAACTATACCTCCAATGAACATTACGTCAACTTTATTTTTTGGTCATTTTCCGTTATTTTTGTAAACAGCCGTATTTATTTATTAATATTATGCTCCTTGAATTTCGTGAAAAAAATAAAGAAACAAAATTCAAAATGTAAAAAGAAACGATTTTTGTGAAAAAAAAAATAACGAAACAAAATAAAGAATAGGTCCAAAAATTAAGTTGGCATAGTTGTTCATTGGAGGTATCGAAAAGTTGATATTTATGATGTAATTAATAAAGTTGGATCGAACTATGCTTGGGGTTTTTCTGGTGGATCGAATACCTAATCAAGTCATACGTCGTCAGAGAACTGAAGTGACAGACGTAGCTCGTAAGCTTTTATTTGTAATAAGTGGCAGTTAGCTGGACATGTCTACAGGAGGGCTGATGGCCGATGGAGCAGACTTGTTCTAGAGTGGCGACCACGTCAAGGCAAACGTAGTGTACGACGCACGCCCTGCGGTAAGATGTACGGACGACCTGTGAAAGGTGGACGGTAGCGGCCGGATGCGGGCGCCACAGAAGTTGGCGTGCTGAGGGGAAGGCTTATAGTATTTTATAAATAACCCTGTATATAAATGTGGGCCAACCGTTCGTACATTCAGTCAAGAGCATGTCACGCTTGACATTTAAAATTTAAATTCAACACTATGCCACTTATGGTAGGAACGGTCCCAAATATCGGATTTGACGCTGTCCTGATTGTATATACAGACGAAGTAGCCAGATAGAAGAAAGAAATTGATAAACTCGCAAATCTTATATTAGTTTGCTTGAGATATCTTTAAACGTAATGTAATTGTACAGTAATGTACAGCGTGACATGTAGAAGACTGCTGCAATTTATATATTGATGCGAATTTTTCTTACGAGACAGTACAGTACTGTACTGTAATAGCATAATGACTTTATATGAATAGCGTAACGCACAAAATAGATGCAAGACGGAAGCAGCGGGATTGTAAATTTAAATTAAAACAAACCCGGATACAAAACTGTAAGTACCTACTTCAAGAAGTTTAATAAAGTCACCAACCCGTAAGCTAACAACTCGTTGAGTCGAACTTAACACGTTCCCTGTGCATGATCATATGTGGTGCATTTCAAGGTATAAACGATACGTGGTGGGTGCATCACATATGAGGTAAGGCCCTTTACAAATAAATTTAAGCGTTAAACAAAATTTGCAGTTGTAAGCTAGATCATCTTTATTTACTTGTACCTACTACTTGTATAGACCACAAAAATTGTGACAATTAGCATATGGTACTGGATGACTTTTTAATCAATGTTGTCAGATTATCACTGTCATAATATAACACAAAAAATAATAATTATTTTTTCACTACAAGTTAGAAAAATCTATTATTGAGTTACATATATCGCACATGATAATTTAAGCAACTGTGGGGCTCTTGGGAAAATTGAGAAAATGGGAAGGGAGTTTGTGGAAATGATTTGTCCATCCATAAATGTATTAATATATACCAATTCCAACGTATCCATAGTCACTACTTACTACGTATTTTCTTAGTTTAGCTTTGTAACTACGTGAGCTAAGTTAGCTAGCTTCGTTCACGGTGTGGCCTGCGCTTAAATAACGTTTCCACTGGCAGGGAATTCCACTCTATAGGCGATCGCCGGAACAAAATTTA